AAGGCTGTGAGGCAGTGTAGGGGGTGATGATCTTAGTTTGTGGGGACAGAGGGGGTATAAGTGAACTGTAGGACCGATTCATAGATTCCATTCTGGCCTAAAAGGAGCATAAAAAGGGGAGCGGGAGGGAGAAAAACACAACAAACAAAATAGTTACAGAGGTAAGCTTAGGCAGTATAAAACTAAAAAGCAAGGAATCTAGAACATGCATGAAAAGGATGCAGCAGTTGGTGATTATAAAGATGGACAATGTCAGGAAGGTTAAAATATGATTCCCCAGGTAACAAGGACACAGAGGAAATTTGTTTTACCCAGCAATATTCTTAAATAGCTATACTACCTTATAATCTAGGAAAGATTTCCTGTAGCAAAAAGCTGTTTGGATGGTGACAGGATGTGACAGGATCTGACCCTGGCTATAGGACTTTGACAAACTGCTCTAACTGGGAGCCGTCTGTGGAGGCTTCTCTGCCCTAGCCCCTCCTGGGCTCAGGAGTTCACCTTCAGTCCATGACTGCATCCACATCAAGCAGATGCCACTGTGGGTCTAGGAAGCTGGTGGAGGGCCTCCCGAGGAGTGAGGATGGTTTTTTTGATGCTAGTAAGCTGACATGTGAGAGTATAAGAATGCTCAGCAGGCGTGCACAGTCACACAGGAATGAATGAGCTCCACACACACACTCGTGTTGGTGTGAGACACTTGCATCCAACATGCACAGACGTCCAGCAATGCAGGTAAGGGGGAGCATTCTTTACATTTGCTTTACTGGAAAATACATAAAGAAATGCTTTGTGAACATTACAGCAAAAGATCATAAAGAGAGCACACTCAAAAAGCCAGATGAAAATTAGAGGAAACTCTGTAAAGCTAAAGGAAACATATCAGGAAGTTGGAACTAGGTAGGGCTTGCCAGCTGTCAACCACTGCATTTGGGTGACTCAGCACTCCTGTGGGCACTATACCTGGTTGCTTACTGCCTGAATCAACCATGCACAGACTGTGCCTCATGGATTTCTGAAATGAGGAATTCTGAAACTTTGGGTATATCTTTTAGGATCTTTGAACAACTGTGTAAAAATAAGGTGAGCCATCTGTTTTGAATGACAAATGAACTAGAAGTTTCATTTACAGAGCTGAATTCTAATGCCTATCAGGATGCTTGCATTTCTTTAAAAATTACCCACCAAAATAAAAGCATTAGTCTGTAAGATTTGGTTATAAGAGTCACTCAGGTTAATGTGAGAACAGCCCCTGACCTTAACTTTGACCCTGTCTTGGCTGCTTCAGGGATGCAGACCTTAGCTGTGCTGGCCTTCTCATGTAGCACCTGAGACTGGAGTAACAGAAGAAACACACAGAAAGATCAAGACTCAAACTGACATCACTGCATAGCAGGGCTCACTCTTTCTGAAACTCTATAATGATAGACTTTGCTTCCTCATCAGAGCATTTGGGTCTGCTGTCCTTGAATTTGCATGTGATTATTAGATAGCTAATATTTTATAATGCACACGGGTCTTAAAGCTAACAATTTTTAAGGAAAAGGATTTTGTGAGTGAGAGAGGGGCAATTCTGGGGAATCTAACTGAGTCTTTTGCATTCTAGGCAAGCTCTTTACTACTAAGCTACATTCCCAGCCCAAGGCAAAGGATTTTTCTTCAGATATTTGAATTACATAGGTCAGTTTTTCTAGTATATGTTTAAATTATTAGCTCCAGTCAAAGTTGTTTCACAAGGAACTTGGTTCGGTGACACAGGCCTGTAATCTTAGCTACAGGAAGATTACAAGTTGAAGGACAGCCTAGAAAACCTAGTATGAGTCTCTACCTCAAAACCAAAACCAGAAAAAAGGCTGGGGATATAGGTCAGTGGTAGAGTGTTTGCCTAGCATGTGAAAGAACCTAGATTCAGTCCACAGTACCAGGGGAAAAGGATTCTAGAGTAAAGAGAATTATTTATTACAAGTTCCTGTAAGGGAGTATAAAGGAGTATAACTGTGTTTTAAGAAGTTAGGTTATTGGAACCAATTCTTACATATTCATTTCCCTAACCCCATCATGCCAGGTAATCAACCACACATGTAAATTAAGGAATTCATTTGTTTTAATTACAGGACTAATTTAAATGTTTATTTTTGACTAATTTCTTTTCAAAATTTTACATATATATATATTTTTTATTTTA